TTTGACTTGGTGGAGCCATGCTCGCTCTCTTGTCCACATTTTGTTTCCGCTCTAAATGAAGTCTACGATAATGAAATTAGCCTGTTCAATTAGCTCAGCTAGAATGCTCAATGCATTTATGTAAGCTTATTTGGTATTTTATGCATGCCCTCTGAAAGTTCAAGGCAGTGAATAGTTGTCTTTTCTAAATGTGAATTTCTGAGAATATTGATGGACTGACTGTGTGTTTTGTCAGCTAGAATGTGACGGGAATGCTTAACGGTTCCATTTGTTGGTCTCTCTGCAAGCACTCGCCGTGAATGAACCACTGAAAAGGCTCAAGGTTCTTCATAAGTCTGCATAAGCCAGTCAGAATGACTGCTGGTTACATAATAAAGTTATTACTGACCACATGCACTGTAACTGCACAACCAAAGGTAAACTTTAAGAGAGCAATCATCAACCCGGTGGCTAGAGCTAAAAACTATTCATTCAGATGATTGCTGATTAGCTGATCCACAGAAAATTAATCATTAACTATTTTGATAATTGATCATTTAAGTCATTCATAAAGGAAAATTACCAAATATTTTCTGTTTTTCTCAACTGTGAAGATTTGCTGTTCTTCTTTATTGATATCATTATACATTGAATTAGGGAAGCTGTGTGTAGGTTTATGTAGGCTAAATATACATGTATGTATGTATGTCTAGACTTACATACTAGACATTTGCATTTATTATACTGACTTAGAGTGACCTTAATTAATTAAAATTATATGTTTTTGTTGGTCTGCCAGCTATTGTTACACTTACTCACTACTGACCAGTCCTTATAAATATTACCTTGGGTTTTGTTTTTACTATTAGTCACTGCTGTCTTGCTGACTTTATGTTAATATCTCTTCGATTCAAATGAGAATAAACATTTGATCACAAAAGACAAATAGATTATGATTGATAATTGTTGATAATTGCAAATTAAAAAAATGTTTAGTTTCAAATATGAATTACAAATAAATAATGCATTTTGAATTAAAATTAAAATGTTCTAATTATTGCTGAAATCTTCATGAGCATAGACGCAGTTATCTTGTATTATTGATTAATTTCTTTATCTATAATCTATCAGATTGTGAAAAATGTCCATAAACCCCAATTTGACATCTTGCCTGAGCAGTAGTGCAAAACCCAAAGATATTTAGCTTACTATGGAACCAGTGAATGCTTGAAATTATAGTTGCTGATTCATTTGTGGTCAATCAACTGATCAATTCAGCTCTACATTTTACAACATAAATTTTTAATGTTGTGCACAACACAGCTTAAATCTAAGCTTAACATCATCAAACTATCAAGCATTTTTACCAATAATATTAAAACAGAAATTGCATGATAACGGGACTAATGTCAGCCCTCTTGTTGCAAAGGAGGTTTTTAGTGCAAAGTGCAGGACAGGTGAGGAAAACAAACCCTTCGCATGAACGCATCCAACACCTTGAGCACAAAGCTCATCTCTCCACTCTAACCTTTAGTGAAGCACACTGCTCCCACAGCATCCTCCCATGGGTGGTGCTGGAGGTCACACAAGGAAGGCATCTTAAATAACCAGTGACCTTAAACTCATCTAAACTAATAGACTGGTGGAGTGGCAGGCAGACGGAAAATGCACAAGTGTGTGTCTTCGCGGCTCTGACTTCTCCGTCTTATCTGACATCTGTGCCCTGACCTCTCCCGCCAAACATTTACGCCAAACTGTGCAAGCAACATGGGGTGCACTAAAGCTCCCTGATGCTCGCTCACTTTCAAATCTAGGGCACGCGAGTGCTCAACACAAAACAGACAGCAGTGGCAGATTTAAAAATAAAAGATTAAATGCTTGTGGGTTGAAAAAACACAAAATATCTCCCTCTGTCATACACTGTGACATACACACACACACACACACACACAAACAAGTACAAACTCAATACATGAAAAAGCTGATGAGAATACAGGGAATGAAAAGTACATTCTCTGTTCTCTGCACGCCATCAATAAATCCACAATCTTTTCCAGTGTGTGATTTTATTAAAGCTGCTCTTGTATTGACTGCATACAAAGGGACTTAGTCTAAGATTAAAACATTGTTGAGCATTGGAGTGACACCCACCCGCCCACACACACACCTGACAGAATAACACAGGCTCAGTGATGTTCCCTTTGGGGAAACGGTATCTTTAACGTCACAGGATCAAGGTCATGGCAGGGGGCGCATTAGTGGGGCATGTTGTGTACACTCTGCTCTTCTGAGGAATACCACTGTAACAACAGGTCCTCTTACTCAATCTGCCAGGATGCATTACACCCCTCGCTGCGATCAGAGATGAGCTCTCATCAGGAAGAGGGAGCGGTTTAATTAAACAGAGCAGATCAGCTTCTCAACAAAGATGATGGATAAGAGAGACAGAAAATGGGGAAAGCAGGGAGAAATTAGGGAAATTAAAAAGATGGTGATACAGAAAATAGAACCGGTGCCAGTCTGGAAGTAAAATGGAATAAAATAGTAGAATCAACACAGAGGAGAGTGCTGTAACCTTATGAAAGGATGGCTGAAATCATAATAACAGAATGAATTATTCACAAGGAAATGGAGGGCTGGTTCAGTCCACTATAATGAGCATTTTTGTGAGGTCTCAGTTTGGTAACCTAAGCAGGCCTTCAAGTGTGTGTGTGTGTGTGTGTGTGTGTGTGTGTAGGTGTGTGTGAGTGTAAGAGAGATACTGCTGATTCAGTAGGGATGGGTGAAGGTGACCCTCGCCTGCTCCTGCTGCCTGTCTCACCACCTGATATTGATCCCAGTTGTCCAACTCAGATGTGACTCAAGGATACATGGATTCATTGCCTTCTTGACATTTCAAATATGGCACTGTGTAAATTGTAACTCCGCACACTATCATTGATTGGTTATTGATTTGCTACCTTAGTCAGAGTCTAACCGTTTAACAGCGGCTTATTCAATCAAAATTGAATCCCAATGTATATAGGCAGAGACACGAGTGGTATAGGCCCGGCATGGGAATGTTGTTGTTGTTCAAATTTCATATTAGACTGTTCAGGACTAAGAATAGAGCAGGCTACAACTGCAGAATCCAAATGCAGTGGCTGGGAGCAAAGGTTTGGACCACAGATGGGAGAATATGCCTGCGTAGCCCTGCCCTGTCAAGGGTAAACTGCCTTAAACACACGCTCAACGCACAGCCAACAGCCCACACACACACACACACACACACATACACACATGCATACTTTGTTTTCGCCACACCTTAAAACAGCAGCATGAATATTCATGATGCCGAAGGACACAGGAGGTACATAATTAGACAATCAACAACTCCCAGATGACATGCATTACTACGACAGAGGAGAAAATGCACCTCACTTCATCCTCCCCTCTTGTTAGCAGTGAGAGTAGAGTCATGTTCGTACGCTGACATGCATTTCCACTTACTGGAGGTTCAAACTTAGGCTTACAACTGGAATCAGGGGAGGACCAATGCAGACTAAAAACCAAAAAGCCTTTGCTGAGTTACTGCAAAACAGGTGCCGGGCCCATACAAGGGACTGAGGAAAAACAAACAGTGGGAGGACCAGAGCAGCATGAGAGCATGTGTGGACAGTCAAACACCACATGTCTCTCCTTCTCTCCTCCAACGAATTAATGATTCATAATAACAGCATAACCTTGACTGCTCTCAAAACCTAGAGCAATGCACACTATTAAGTCAGGGTCACACATCCATCACTCCAAAACAAGCTCCCTGTATCGAGAGTGGACACACCCTAAACAAACAACGCACAAACGCACACACACAGAGCTGCGAGGCACACTCGTGCACACTCCTAAACACATGCATGCACACACACACCTGGCTGTGAACTACAGAGTGCGTTTTGTAAGTCAGTTATTTCTTATGGCAAAACAGACATAGGTTGCAATGAACACGGGTGTCTGCTTTTACACTTAATTGATGTAATTTATGGAGAAAAAACATCATACATTTGCAAATAAAAGATCTCAACAAACTTTTCAAACCTAATCATGAGACACACACACGCGCACACACACACACACACACACACACACACACACACACACATGATCACCCACTGTTAACAAATGTAAACTTCACCTGTCAAAATGACAGGTATACCTGAGATCTGCCACCATCATCACTTCACTATCTCTTACACACACACTGACTAGTTTACATGCACACACTCCCTCACCCTCACCCTCTCTCTCTCTCGCTCTCTCTCTCACACACACACAAACACACACACAACAGATTCTCATATTTCTCATATTTAGGGAAAATACTGACCTGCCTTGGCGCTGACACACACACATTCTTTTCAAGCAGTTCAGCCTTTCAAAGAGGATCCGTTTGAACGCGTCTATATACATTGACCCGACTGAGGTTCAGTAACAAGCCTATACTTAAATAAATGCGAGTTTCTTGGTTTTAAAAAAAGCAGCAGCCTGGTGTGTGTGTGTGTGTGTGTGTGTGTGTGTGTGTGTGTGTGTGTGTGTGTGTGTGATGAAGAAAAAAGAAGCTGTGTGAGAATGCAGTGATGAGTATATGTGGTACCACCGTATCCCAGAGTAAGTCAGAGGCGATGTGCACGGCTGACGGGATATTTGGACAGTGATGCTCTGAGAGCTGTGGTGATCTTGTAGAGAGCGAGAGAGAGGAGAGGAGAGGAGAGGGAGAGAGAGAGGGAAAATACACACATGGACACACACACACACACAATCACACTATCGGGCAAATCTGACAGCGGCCGCTTATAAATTTAGCAGCTGCTGCACGGCTATAGGCACAAAAAGGAGGATGGATAAATGTCTAGTCCAAACGAGCTGTTTAACTTGTGAGGAGTGTGTGTGTGTGTGTGTGTGTGTGTGTGTGTGTGTGTGTGTGTGTGTGTGTCTATTGAATGATAAGTGCTGGACTTTAATTTGACTATGAGGAATTTTCTCACCTTCATCGCTTTTCTCCTCGTCAGATCCTCTCCTTCTAGTCCTCGTTTGGCGGATCGTGGGGGTTCATTAATTACGCATACATGTGTCGGTTGATGTCTGTAACAGCAATCAACAACAACAACAACAAAAAGAAAAGGCAAACGTCGCTAGGGTCTATTTGACCGGGTAGAGGTGTCATTGAACTGCAGGCGCGGTGCAATCAGGGCGCGGAGCGTCAAGTGCCGAAGATTAGATGAAACAAAGGTTCTGCTGTCCGGTAAAAAAAAAAAAAAAGTGTGGTCGGGTTGACTTCCAAAAGGCACTTTTGCAGGAAAGAAACGATGGTTAAAAGGCAAAACGAGAAGGTTATCTTGGGAAGTTAAGGAGCACGGAGGGGAGGGAATAAAAGAGTTAAAAGTACCGCCCCTTATTATTCCCAGTCTCTCTGTACCTGCATCAGCAGCATCACTTTTCGCTTACGAGTTGTAACCGGGATTTAAAGGCGTGAGAACCAGATTAAAGCGTGGGTTTGTCAAGACTAATTTGTGACATTTATCCAAAAATACATTTTAATCTTAAATTTTTTAAACTCCGAGTTTAGTTAATGAAACTTTAATGAAGCTCATAGAGGGGGGAATGGATTATGTTATGAAATGGGATATGTGCAAAACCCATCAGCCAGAACACACCAGTAATATAGTTCAGTTCAGTCATTTTATTATCCATCATTTTATATAAACTTGATTTGCAGTCAAGGGGCACAAACATAAAAAAAAAAACATAAAACAACACAACAGACACAAACAAAAAGTACCAAAACCTCAAACATTATTCCTGTACATAAAATATACAGTAAACCTTAATACAACAACAATGCAAATGTGCAAGATGCTAAAATAGGATGCTAAAAATGTCATGTGAAAATTAAGCAGGGATATTGCACAAGGGCAAATAAGTCTGGAGGAATGTAGTTAATATAATTCCTACAAAATCATAAATTATTTAAAAAAGAGGAGACCCATAAAATGATCCAACATATGCAGTAAAATACATCCTGTAACAAAAGGAAAATAAACACAAAATGTTATATATAGCCTAATAAGATACCTTACTGGATTTATTTTTACTTGAATTTTATCCACAATTTAATTTCTCAAGGAAAACAGATATTATTGCCTCTTTATTTGAAAATATATGCAAACATTATTCGTTTCTTGTCAAACTTTCCCTGTGGTTTATAATCAAATATAATTGTGTATACAGTACAAAACCAGCACAGAGTTTAACTAGTTGTTGTGCCTTTAATTCCGATGCATTATGGGAAATGTAGTCTTTTACGAACACTGACCCAAACGAAGCATAGCGAGCTCAAACTACAACTACCATAACTCCTTTCTCCTACTTCTGTCGGCTACAAACAATAATGGCGTCGCACGGGGACGATACAGGCGTCTCTTCTGGGGACCAAGCAGAGAGAAAACCTCCGGCGGTGTCCTTCGCTTTCACCAAAACAGTCAACAAATTTAAACCGACGACTGGCGACGCTTTGACCAAGAAAGAGGACAAAGATTACCTCACCGGCATCGACAGAAATGAACTACAAAGGTAGGCTACGTATGCTAATGCTAAGCATACAGTTACAGTTACGTTTCCATTGAACTAACCTGAAGCACGTTTTTGTTATTAAGCGACACCTGCCTGGTAGCTGGCTAACTTAGTTTCTGTCCTGCAGCTCAAAACCGTCTGAGAAGCCCAAAGAGCTCATCATCCCCCTGATCCAGAAGAACCGCTGGCACAAACCGGACCGAGCGGGCCAGAGCGAGGCCAGTGGAGGCAAAACACAAGACACGACCCAAGACAGTGACTCTGTTGACTCCCAGGCTGTCAAAGAACTCATTGAAGGTGTGTGTGTGTGTGTGTGTGTGTGTGTGTGTGTGTGTGTGTGTGTGTGTGTGTGTGTGTGTGTGTGTGTGTGTGTGTGGTCTCATGCTTAAGCTCCTTATACATCTCCAATTGGTGCTCGTAGACTCCAGGAGGCAGCTGGAGGAGTGGCAGAATGGGCCTCAGTCGGAGAGAAACCTCAACCTCAGCATCCCCCTGTTGATGCAGAACAAAGTGCCCGATGGCTTCGAGGATGGAGACCGTGTAAAAGTGGATCTGCGGCCTGAATCTGTAAGTGTATGGAGTGTGTTTGGTGTTTTTGTTATTCCCATAATAATCACATCAGGATCTTTTTCACTTCAACTACAGTGGAGTAAACTATTCAGAATATTTGAAGGTACACGTCATTTTGTTTTTATTGTTAGGTGAACTGGAGAGCACAGTCAAGTCATAGAAAGCACAGCAAAACATGAGATACATTTAAAGAGGCGAAGAAGGAGATCGGTTGATTCAACAGCTCAATTTAAGATAAGGATGCAGCACAAATAATAAATATAAGGCCCAGTAAGGTCAGATAGGTAATCGACCTGGTAGCTTAGATTCATTGTAAAGCATCAAATGCTTTTTCCCTCATTTTATTAAAACACTGTTTTGTGCTAGATGATGCTATTTTCCAACTATACCAACATGAACATTCTTGTAAATACACATACTTACACTTACACTTTTATGTTTTTTTTATTTCAGTAAGCTCTCTACTGTTGTGCTTACTTATCTTACTCAAAAAAAAAAAAAGCATATGAAAATACCTGACAGTACAAAATGTCTGGTAGACTGGCTACTTTGACTCATGTTGAAATTCGAGAGTGTGAAAGTGCTGACGGTCAATTGAGTCGAATAACACCCCTGTGTGCATACAGCATACAGCGCATGTGTGTGAATACGGATGACTTTGTCAGTACAGTACGGCTTGGGTGGCAGACAGGCGTCAACATTCTCCCCAGAGACCTGCGAGGCAACCAATCAGATCTCTTTCTGTTTCTCTTCATCAGAGTCCTCACACCTCGTCACTGTCACCCCGTAGCTGCTCTCAGTCACCATAGATGTGACTGTCAGAACATGAGGGTCAGGGGAAAGTTGCCCACTGTGCCCCGGAGCTCATTTTTAATGCAGTCTCCTCTGTGAGAGTTGGCTCCCCAGGCTTCCTTCAGAGGAAAGCCTTCAGGGGAGACAGCGATGAGCCGGGCCGTTGGTCTGACGAGGGGCTGCTGTGGCTGCTGCCTTGTGACTGTAGTCAGCCCGGGCTGAGTCTGACAGCCGGGAGCCAAAAGGCTGAGTAAGACAGACATCACAAACTGCTTCTCTCTGTCAGTCACCACAAACAGAACTCAGAACTCAAAGATTACATAAGCACCTCATTTAGCCCTGATTCACATTTTTAACACAGACTGTGGTGTTTTATATTTGCTCTTGTTCAAGTATTTGATGTACGTCTCTTTATTTTGAAAAAGATAATTATACTGTGTGTGTGTGTGTGTTTGTCAGTCAACAGAGGCAGATTATGAGACCGTTCCTGTTGAGGCTTATGGACTCGCTATGCTTAAAGGGATGGGCTGGTCAAAAACCGAAGGCATTGGACGCACCTTTAAACAGTGAGTAACAAACGTACTTACCCTTTGCTTACCATTTTCTCTACTAATATCACATCATCATCACTGTAATGTTTGTATTTGAGCTGCTTAGTTGATGACAAAAAACAAATTGGCAACAATTTTGATAATTGAGTAATTGCTTAAGTCGACCAGTCCAGCAAATTTGTGAACCATTCTTTAGTTCCCGCTTCCTAAATGTGAAGATTTGCTATTTTCCTGATTTTTAGATCATTGTGAACTGAATATCTTTTAGATTTTCGGACCAAACAGGGTATTTGAAGAGGTCACCATGAGCTCTCAAAGCATGTACATTTTTTGCTATTACTAATAACAATGAATCAATAAAATAATTGTCAGATAAATTAATAATTAAAATGATTGTTAGCTGTAACCCTAGATTATATACCAATTAAAGCAGTGTTGGAAATTGTTACATTTAAAGTCATTTAATGTTTATATTCTGATCAGGACATTGAACTTTAGTCTTGATTTATTTTCTGTATTTTTGCTACTGTGAATATTGTGACAACTATTGAAATCTGAATGTTTCAAACAAAACATGCTTGGCTCAAGCTGTATCCATCTACAGCCTCCTTCACACTCTGCACATATCCATCTCTTTGTTTTATTGATTAAAAGCTGTTGTTGCCTGTCTGCTACAGAGACGTGAAGCCAATAGAACACCAGCTCCGTCCAAAAGGCTTGGGTCTCGGAGCTGATCGTTCAGCAATAAAGGACCTGGAGCCCAGCAAACATAAACGCCCCCCCAAGCCGGGCGAGGAGCGAGCCAAGGAGGAGGAACTAGTGATGGGTCCAGGCGGCTGTGTGCTGGTGGAGTCAGGGGCACATAAAGAACTGTATGGCAAGGTAGAGTTGATCTGAAATGTGTTTGCATCCATATTCATCACTGTGGACATTCAATTATCTCCTGAAATAGAATTAAGGTATGGCACTACTACTTTACCTGTTTTGTTATGCATTGTTTTCTCTGAATATTATTTAATTCATGTGCTGCAGATTGAAGGCGTTGATCCAGACAACGCTCGAGTTATGGTGAAGCTGGCTATTGGTGGCAAGACTGTGACAATCAGCCAGTATGCTATTAAACTGGTTGGGCGAAAGGAATACGACAAAAACAGCAAAGACATCAGTAAGTAACTCTGAATTAATGAAATAGAAAAGGTTAACATTTATGGAAGATGATCTGGAATGCTAATGGACTTTGATTTTTACATTTCTGCAGGCCAAATTAGATATTTCACTACAATTTGGTAACATTTAGAGGTCATCAAATGCCATAAATCTGTTTGCCCACTTTTCATTTAAACCAGTTATGATTTTTAAAAAATTTTTTAATGACATGTAATCTAGTTACATGTAATTATAGATATATCTTATATGGCATTTTGAGATAATATGCATTGGCTGATGTCTGCTCTCAGGAAGCCGATAAACAAAAATGTCTGCAGGCAGCCGTGTCAGTGTGGCTGCTGTGGAACGATGTTAGCGCCCTCTTTGTGAGTTTTTATTATGTTACAATAATGCCGTTAAAGGATGTCGCTTATGACATACTTAACTCCGATCTCCCTTAAATATCAGTCATATTGCAAAATCTACCGCATAAACAATGTTTTCCTGTTTCATTAATTCCTTAAAAAAATCCATCTAAAACAAAATGTTACTGGCTGAGATGTATATTAGATGTAATGGAATAATGGACCAATACATGAATTTTCTTTGTTTTGATTTGTTATGATACAGTTGTATTAAACAGAAATGACCAGTTATTAATTATGACCTACTAGTTAAATGAACAAATCTGAAGCAGCTTGTTATTGTGTGTTGAGCTGAATTGATCAACAAAAAATATACCTGTAAAAAATGTGATTTATTTTCTAGCCAAAATGCCCTAAAATTAGTTTCTGCTTCTCAAATGTGAATATATATATATATATATATATATAATTTTGTTAAATGTAATATTCTTTTGGTTTTGGACAAAACAAACATTAGTTTAAAGAGGCAGTGACTGGGCTAAACAGGTTTATCCTCTAGTGACATTTCAGCCTTCATGTGGAAAAAAAACACACAACAGTGTTTCAGCCACTGCTTTTATTTTCAGTTATCTACGCTGTCCTCTTCCAAGAACAAAAACACAGCCTCTCAGAACCACACACACTCACAACACTGCATTGTCTTTGTTTGGGTGCATTTTACTTAATGTCAGGTTTTTCCACCAACCAGGTCGCCTCAGTAAAGCCCACAAAGACAAGGAAAAGGAGAAGGAGAAAGAGCGGGAGAAGGAGCAACAGAGACGGGAGGACAGAGACAGGCGAAGTAATGGGGACGAGGTAAAACACAAGTCCTCAGAAAGAGATGAAGGAAAAGATGAGAGGAAGAGGAAGCACAGAGATTCGAGTCCAGACAGGTACATGAAGATAAATAAAAGATGAAGATACAGCAGTGTGCTTTTCATTGTTCGTACTGACCAGTATTTAAAATGTTATACATTTTACAACACTGCAATACTTCTCATTTCCATTCATTGGAAAATCATTCATTTTGTTTGAGTAAACATGTTTCCTCTACAGAGAGAAGCCCCCAGTGAAAGAGGCAAGACGACCGCCGGCTCCCCCGTCCTGGCTCCAGAGAGACTTGAAAGTTCGCTTTATAGACAAAGCTTTCAAAGGGGGGAGGTACTACAACTCAAAGGTACTAATACGCCACCTAGATATCACATGATGTCATCTTCAAATGGTTTATTTTAGAGCAGGAAAGGATTTAACTCACCAAGTTTTTTACCCAGCTACTTTTACACATATTTCATTGGACGGTGAATATTGGTGTTTAATTGTTTTTAACTAATTACATTGTTGTACCATGTCTTTAGCGGCAGTGTTTTCTCTATCACGTCTGTTGATATCAGTCTTGTTTTCTTACAGATGCGCGTGGAGGATGTCCTGACACCGACTACCTGTGTGTGTCGAACTGAAGAGGGAAGACTGTTAGATGGTGAGTCATCAGTGCCATCTGAGTCTCTCTTGGTGTTAGTTTCCTCTCTCGCTCTCCCTCTTTGGTGTTTCTTTTTATTCCCTAATTAGAGTTGTATACGAAATGTACCAGAAACATGCAAAATATGTGTTAACCATGTCTGTTAATTTTAATAATACAAAAAGCCATGCTTCCTCCTGCACAAATATCTTGTTTATATTTACGTTAGATAATAAACAGTATAAACAAAAATACCTAATTGGGTATTATTGTAAGGAATAGACAGGTTATGTGATGTGAGGTACATGACAAGATTGATACGTTGATGCATTTATAGTGTTGCTATAGTAACTATTATAAAAACTCTCGAATTAACCCATTATTTCTTCTTTTTGTGACAGATGTGAAGCAGACCATGCTGGAAACCATCGTTCCAAAAAGTGAATATGACTCTGTAATGGTTGTACTGGGCGAGCACAGAGGACAGGTAAGCAAAGGCTCATCTTCCCTGCGGGATGTGTGTGTGTGTACTGGTTTGCTGTGTTACTAATTCTAGTGTTTACATTTGTGTGTTCAGGTCGGCCGTATTCTCCAACGGGACAAGAACAAGTGCAGAGCGATGGTCCAGCTCGACCGCTTTGAGGAGAAAGTGTTCACTCTGGAGTATGACTGTATTTGTCACTATGTAGGAGCAGTGGACCACTGATCCACGTTTCTTTATTCAAATATTCCTGTTTCTTTTTCGCCCCATCTGAAACCTCGTTTTTGTAATATTCAGAAATAATGGATTTCTTAAGATTTTAGAGAATTGCAATTTTGTAATAAAACATTGTCAAGAGTTTTATTTGTACAGATGTTATTACAAAATCTACAACCACACCATAAAGAAAGGTTGAGTCATTTTCACAGTTATCTTTAAATTTATTAACCAATGATGTCTACAAATGGCCCTAGTAACAACGAGAAGGTCAATCTTTAGATCATATAAAAACATATTTACAACTGTTCTCTACATGTTTGACAGGAGTATGAATGCACTGGTGGTATAAAAGCTCAGCACTCTTATTTCTGACATGTACACAAAATTCTGAATGAAAAGAAAACTATCAGAGAGAGACTTCACTCTGTAACTGCAAATGTTAAGACAAACTGTACAGCTATGACTCTCTGTTGTCTCCGGGAGCTTACTCCTTGGGTATTTGGTTCGCTGCGTTAGCCCGAAGCACGGCTCCTGGACTGGGGTACGGCCGCTGCTGGAACAGAGGCCCGGCTGCTGTGGTGTCTGCACCCGTCTTCGCCTCATTACGCTTGGGCAGGCCACTCGACCACGTTCCCCTGTAAAGATAAACACGTTTGGTTTTAATGAATAGTTTTATGCATTCTGCTCACACCTTAAAAAGGGCCACTCCACCAATTTTACACATCAAAATCAGTTTACTGGATATGTTTAGTACGACTAAGCCTGTGGCAACAGTTGTGTAAGGTTGTATCTTAACTTATTAAGAACAGAAAACCTGCGCTACAGAGTTGTGGAGTTTAAATTACGACCTGTTTACCAGACAGGGAGGGTCTAATGAAAATATTTTACCTCCTTTATCTCTACCATGCTGGTGATTGGAAGTCAGAATGCTTTGGTTTTGTTCTGTTTTCAAATCGTCTCTCAACTTTATGGAAGTGCAATACTAAATTTCTAAGTTACTCCTTTAAAGAAAAGGATTAAGGGTTTGTTTGATTACCATGACTGTAAATATCGTACCTTGGGGCATCAGAATAAGCACTTGGATCCATGGGGTCCATCTCATCATCTTTTCTCCCTGAAAGAAAAATAAATATGTATCGTGTATTCATGTACATAGAATCATTCATTTGAAAATGCTTGTGTTGATACGGATGTAAACATTACCTCGTTTGTTTTTACTGTACGGTGCCATGTCTTCTCTCCGCTGCTTTCTTCTGTCTCTCTCCCTCCCTTCATCCCTCTCTCGGTCTCTTTCCCGTTCCCTTTCCCGCTCTTTGTCTCTTTCCCGCTCTCGCTCTCTGTCTGGCTTCTCGAACTGCCTCTCAATTCTTTCATCTCCTCCTTCAGCTGAATAACAAAAAAAGCAAAATAAAGGCAGTAGTCACAAAATAAACCTTTGCCAGATGATGATTTGTGAGTCATACATGATGAGTATATGAAAACAGAAATCTGTGGTAATATAACTGCAATGATCATAAGTGTGCCAGTAAAATGTTAACTTAGGGAGGCTTTATGATGCCATACCTCTAATTTTCTTGGCAGGTTTTGTTACCACTGCAGTTGGGTCATTTGGAGACAACCACGCGACCATATCCGTCTCCACATTCCAGTAATAAGGAAGCCCGCTGTGGATTGAAGGAAAAATCAAATGGTTGAATTTGCAGCAATAATTTATTTAATAATATGTGCTGTCATTAGGAAACTGCTTAACTGAATTTAACTGATGATCAAAAATACACTACAGGTCTGCACAGTAGTAGTTCCAGTGCAGTGAAGTAGACTTATTTCTAATGTGGCCTTTCAACACACAACAAATAAAACAATACTAAACCATAAATACATTCAAAGAAGCAGAGTGTCAAGCTTACATGTACACAAATATTAAATAAATAAGACCCATATATCCAACAAACAACCATCAAATAAGCCAATACATTTTCAAACTCAGCTCATGATCATCTAACAGTGAAGGTGAGTTTATTTCAGGTATTTCTCTTTATTTATTTCACAATGCCACTTTTCATCACCAGTCTTTTGTCAATCAAGATAAACAGAACTGGGCCAGCTTTCAAATCAATTGGGCTTCATTATATAAAATCAGGCTACAAATTACTGAGAAACCTTTTTTCTTTTTTAAACCAACAGTACATTAAAATAATCTAAACCCATCTACCACAACAAATACAGACCCATTGTTAAATAATCTATGTCAGTGGCAGAATGAGGTTGTCCTTGTGTAACTTGTTATAAAAATCAGCTGTTTTTCTGTTTGACCCCCTTAATAAATATCCTTATCCCCAAAAATAAATAAGATTTCAGCCCTCTAGACTCACCGTTAAAAGAGTCTATGAAAATAAGTCAATCAACAGGAACTTATTGTAGAAATCAAGTATACGTACCAAGCTGGGTCGAACACTTTATACCAGTTTGGCGGCAGACTCTCCACTCTAGTGGCTTCATAATCCACATTGTTGTCATCGTAGTCTTCAGCAATGATCTCCTCGTCTATTTCTGGATGAATTGGGAGGAGAAAAGTCGTCACACGATGCAGCGATAGTGAATGAAAACGTAAATAAAAACCGTCTGAAGACTTTCTGCTACCTTGCTCTGACGGTTTAACAATCCCTCTCTTGGACAAGCGGGCCAGCAGTGCCGGGGGTAGAGGCATCCTGTAACAGAGAGAAGAAGAGGATTAACTCACAATGCAACCAGGAAAACAAACCTTCAATCACCGACTCCCCTTACCCAATCGTCCAGATGTAATACACAATTATATATCTATTTATTTTATATATTCTCTCCTGTGTGACAGTAAACTGAAGAGAAAATGAGCCATTTGATGATAAAATATTGGGTTCTAGCTAATTGTGATGGGCATTTTCACAGATTTCTAAGATTTTACAGACAAAAAACTATTGATCCATCAGTTTATTGAAGAAAACAATGAATCCATAATGGGAGAAAAAAAAAAGGCCCTAAATTGTAAATCCCAACTCATTTTCCAGCTGAAATTGACCAATACTGAATACAGTATATGCACATATATCCAGCAGTGTGCATCTACAACTGAAAGCTTCTTAAACCCACAACAGGGATCTTTAAAAAGCCCAAACAACGACGAGAGGTGGTCAAACTACCTCCTACAGTAAATAACAACATGGTTGAACACTAACACAAACAGAACCAGTGCTGCTTCCTGAAAGTTATCCTGGGAGGTGAAGAAACGTAATGTAAAAGCCTGGCTGTTTAAAAAACTTCCTACTTTTAAAAATAAAAGCTTTTAATCTACTATAAATAAAACAAACAACGTGTATTTCCACCAGAGGACTGCACCGCCCGCTCGGTAGCTCCGTCGCAGCAACTGGATGAACAAAGCAAACACACCTCTTGAGCTTCTTAAATAAAGCCCACTAACACTAAACAACTAGACTTTAAACTTAATGAAATGAACATTAAATCAATAAATCAAACATTACCTGTTCTTTGTATAAAACCGCCTCTCTGGTCGTCGAGGAGGAGACGACGTCGACGCAACAGCACACGGCAGCGCACGGTTATGACGCTATCACGTTCTCCTGACGACAACAATCATGGAGGAGTACGCTCGTGAGCCTTGGTGAGATTACCTTTAAAAAACATTTTTACCTTTTTAGTTATAAATAACAACAACAAATAACATATATATATATATATATACATAGTTGTGCGCTTTCTTAATGCCCCGTGTTGTTTTTCTTTCTGCGGGTGAAGAGAGAGGCGGCGCTGAGTGAGAGGATATTTAGTTTCCAGGGATATTAAAAAGGTTTAAAGGAGGATGAGGAGGATGAGGAGGATGAGGGTACACAGAGTGAGCTGGAAGAAGACTTTTAAATACATGTGCCAGTGTTTTAACAGGCAGCTGAACGTGTCTCCCTTGAATATAACTTTAATTTTACATGTGTATAATTTGCTACATGCACATTTTTAGTGTTAGACCTGTACTGTGTTATAATATTGTTTATTCAGAGATAATTTACTGATGTTTATATATTTATATTTTTACAGCATGTCACTACCTATATTCTATTTCAATTATATCTGTATAATAAGCTGTATATAGGTTACATACAACTCTTAATTCAATTCTTCCCCCTATTTTTTCATTATATCTTGTATTTTTTTCTATTTTATTTATTATTATTATTGTTTGTTTGTTATTTAATGTGTTTTTTTTTATCTAGAGCTGCTGTAACAAGCGGATTTCCCCAGTGTGGGATCGATAAAGTCTATCTTGTCTTTATCTTATCTTAATATTGTATAACTCAGTTTAAATTTGTGGATTTGAGCAACAGACCACAGTACACTTATAAAGATAAATGCTGGACCAGGTCCCAGGACAGGGTCTGTAGCTCTGATATTACTCATTGACAGTGGATATTACTCGCTTACTCGCTATGATTGCAATAATTAACTTATTTTTTAAATTGTTCCGACAGTTGTACAAGACTATGTATTTAATTCCCTATGTATTCACATAGTTTAATACTGGTATAGCCATTATTATTTATGCATTAATTTGTCATCTAAATAGTGTTAAGAAATTATTAGGGCAATTAACCAATTATTAAAATAGTTGTAGATCATTATTCTGTTGAAATTATTCATTTAACTTTAAAGTTTCAGGGTAAGTATGATGCCTCCAGAACAGGATATTATAGGGCAGCACCAATAAAAGTAATTTGGATGAAATTACTCAAATAAAAACGTCAAACATTTTCTGTCAATTAACGAATCAACAACTAATTATCTAAAATTACTGCAATATCACAGTGTGAGTTCTGTTATGGTACCATTTTTTCTCGACACAATAAACTACTTTGAATTGCCTCGCAGTGCAAAACCTACTTTGCGTAAAGTACATGTGTGCCTTTGGAGTGCTGAAAATCCAAACCTTATATTACAAAGCCTAAGTATGTCTAATATTTTAACATAACGTCCTTTATCCTATCTTTAAATCTTCTTCTTCCCCTCTCTTCTTAATGCATTCCTGCAGTCCCTGGAGGATAGTGGACGACTGTGGAGGTGCTTTCACCATGGGTGCAATTGGAGGAGGGGTGTTCCAGTCGATCAAGGGCTTTCGTAATGCCCCTGCAGTGAGTTCAATACTTAATAACAATACAAATAATAATAAGGATGATTCTCATTATGTTTTTAAAGGGAGAATTTCAGCAGTGCTCTAATGTTTCAGGGTGTCGGACACAGACTGAGAGGGAGTGCAAACGCAGTGAGAGTAAGAGCTCCCCAGATTGGAGGTGAGGATATCTTCTTGTTTAACCATGAATTGTTTCCTTTACTGTAGCACTTGGAATCTGAACATGTATTTGTTACATATTGGAGCTAAAAAGCATCATTCTTTGTGCATACTAAATGATTTACCTGCAAAAGTAATGGTTTGTTATATTCTCAGTTATTTCATAGAATTGCCTACAGCTAAAATCTTACATTAAACCAGACTTGCAAACACTTACTGGCTGCTTTTGGGTGGATTTGCAGGTAGCTTTGCCGTATGGGGAGGGCTCTTCTCCACAATCGACTGTGGTTTAGTTCGCTTGAGGGGGAAAGAGGATCCTTGGAACTCCATAACAAGTGGTGCACTGACTGGGGCCATCCTAGCAGCACGCAGTAAGAGGAACCTCGTATAGCACAATTAATTGGACACCACCTTCCTGTTATCCTGACCACATCAAGTTAACTAGTGTGACTCAGTTAATTTTGTGTGATTCTCCAGGTGGGCCGTTAACTATGATGGGCTCTGCCATGATGGGGGGGATTTTGCTCGCTCTCATTGAGGGTTTTGGGATCCTACTAACAAGATATACAGCACAGCAGTTTCAGAACCGTAAGTACAACTGATTGAGTTTTGCAAATTATATTTTAAGTTGCTATAATCAGTATTTTTATATTAAAAATGACATGATTACTTGTATGTGAACGGTGTCACTCGTAGTGATTTATCACCTCTACAGTTCCCCTCAGTGTTGGAGCATCTTTCATCTCACAGTTTTTGTTTTGGTTCACTCTCATCTCTCTCTCATAGCGTAATTTTCACACTGCCTATCACCAAACAGCAGCAGACAGTTTGCAACGAGCTGGTGGACATAGTAAAATAATTTAAGAGCCACATATCAATGTAGACCATGCAGAGTGTCTAATGTTTTTCTGTATGTGCTGAGTGTGTAAATTGGCAATTGTTTTACAACAAGTTCACCATATAAACTTTAATATGTCAGTGCTAATTACACCTAAGTGCCCAAAAGATCCACTATTGTAGGTTTAAATGAACAAGAGAAAAATCATTCAGTCTCAGTGCAATATAATTAAAGTCTCAGATTCCATCAGTGCCTCCCGAACACAAGTGGTCTCACTGCATTATGCTAATGACCAACTATAAAATAGTAACCGTTAGTGGATGACCACAATTTGTAACTGGTAGTCCTCTGTGGCAGTCTGCAGCACTGAGAGAACAGACGCTTTAAGCACAAAGAGATCATTGTGTTGTTTTGTGCTGTATTTTTAGTATTTCTGTGAATAATGTTAGAAAAGTACATTAGAGGTCTGGTGTTTGTCCTGTAGAAACAATAAACAAACAATAGACCAGAAATGCAGGGTTCTGAGTAAGAGTTGACTCTCATGTCTGGTAAACTGGAAAAGCTCTTGTGCTTACTGTGGCGTCAAAACTCTCTTTTAATTTACACATAGTGGATGCAACAACTTGTAGTTTTTTCTCTGAGACTTGTGGAAAGTTATAGGCCTTTGTCAAAGCAGACATTTTGATTTGTTTGATTTGATTTTGGAATAATGGAATAGCAGAACTTGACTATATATAACGGTCTAAGTGCATCTAATAGAAACATACATTTTATCTTTCTTATCTTTTTTTTCAGTTATTAGGGTATTCACAAAACAAACAAATAAGTAAATATACTAAAAACACAAATTAACAACACAACAGCAGTAAATACAAATAAAATATAAATGGTAAAAGCTACATTAAACAGGATACTGCCATAGCAACCTGAAAAGTTAACCTCCCCCTTGTTTTCTTCAGCTATTCCTTTTGCAGAAGACCCCAGTCAGTTACCTCCAAAGGATGGGGGTCAGCAGCAGGAGGCGAAGGGGCAGTTTCAGTAGAGACCAGCTGTGGACACAGTGAGTCAGACCAGTGAATAGGGGCTGCAGAAGGTATCACCAGGAGACTGAGATACTGGTCCCTACAGTGGTGTCAAGTAGTTGCACTATGTTCTTAAACCTCAGGGGTAAATTACTGCCAGTTTTAGTTATTTATGAGTGAATGTTTGTATGTAAACAAAGATCCTTCTGACGAACCTCATGTTCGCACCTCCAGCATCTCATGCAATGTTTTTTCTGTTAGTGGTTATTCAGTCTTCACTGTGACATTTATGGGTTAAAGCGACAGTAGGCCAACCTCCTGCCTCTCTCTCTGCTGCCTCATATCACTTTGCTAAGCCCCTCCCTCCAAACCCACACCTTTGAACGGCAACCTCATGCCTTGTGACTCCCGCTCTCCAGAGACCCCAATCCCTCTGTCTGTGATTGCAACTTGTCTTTTCAAAGACACCTATCCAGTACTCCACGGCCCCAGATCAGAGCCCCCCCCCTCAGGCTTCAGGGGCAGCTGCGACAATGTCTAACAGCAGCATGAGAGGATGGTCCAGACATCCTTTCAAACTGCCTCAGCAACTGTTTCTGCGGTGAGGGGCCAGCGGACGACCTGAATTCTCCAGGAGGGGGCGCCGTATTATTGCAGTCATTCTAACCTTTGATAACACGAAAGAAATTGGATTACACAGCTAATACACAACACACACAACACACACACACACACACACACACACACACACCCCCTCAAAAGTTATTCTCCACTGTTTGTCATCATGCCTTTTTGCCACTCGTCAATGCAAGTTTCCATGGCATCAAACATAATGAGCCCGAAGCTGTGTGTGGAGCCGGAACATGTTGACATACGTGTTTTTGTTGGTTTTTACTATTGTTGGCAAAGGAGAGATTGGAAGTGTATCACAGATTGCAGGATTTTCTGCCACTGAATCAGTGTTTCACCATCTGAAGGACGTGCATGAGTATCTGCATGTGTAGAACAGTGAAAAGGAAAACCCTCTCTATGAAAGGACCTGTGATTGGCCAACGGGCTAGCTTTACTGAAGCCTGAAAACAGAGCCAAGAGGAGGGGCAGAAGCCTAGTTTTCTCTCTGACCACTTGAACTATATTATGCTGAAAGGTATCACGTTTTTGTCCAATGACACCAAAAAAATACTGCCTATCTCAGATTTAAATATGCAACTCAATTTGATTATTCAGCATCTAGGCATTTATATATTATTAGTTTGACATTGTGGGAAATACACCTTTTAAAAAAACTAGACAGAATCCACACCTAAAAACTACAATTTGATATTTTACCAGGTACAGTTTCTTGTCAGGGGGCAGTGATTTTCTGGAGTGTGGTGGAGTTGGCATCTATCTCCTCATGTAACTCTTGCCAAGAAAAAAAAAAGGTGTATTTCCCAAACAATTTTTTCCCTTCCAAAGATTTTATGCACAGATTTAGTAAACAGTGATGTGTGTAAGGCAGAAAGGTAGAGTAATAAGAGAAATGAGATGTCTGTGACATTACAACACTGTGTTTGTTCAGTTTTAACATGGGGAGTGGCAATCTGAGAATATGTTTCTTTAATTTAATTTCTTTAAAGTCTTGAATTATTTATGTCTGCTGTGACAATCAATGCAAAGAACTGTGCATGTTTTTAAATAATGTGTGTGTTTAAGATGGACAAACCTCATTTCATTCTTCGTCTGCAGTATCACTTTAATAAGACTTTGCCTCACCCGGCAGCTTTTGTCATTTTGAATCTTTGTTGAATAGTTTTTATCTTATATTAGAAGCACGAGCAAAAACAATGTCTCTTCCTCAATACTGAAAAATACGGATGAATTCCTAGAAAATGATGGCTTGAATTACTTTGTTCAGTTAGTCGGTTATTATCACGCACTCCTCGTCACTTTGATCGCTGTATTATCCATTGAGCAACCAAGCACTTTTAATCTCTCTGTTTTCTCAGAATGTTAGCATCTGCACAGAGAAGAGGAGAGATGATGCAATGTGACTGTGTTTTGCTTTTTAAACAATGTATAGAAAGAATGTTTATTTTATGTAATGTCTTAATATATTTATCTTGCAAAAGTTGAGAAAAAAACAAATAAAGGCATCAAATGTTCTTAAAGACTTTGAGATTGTGTTATTTCTTTTAGCTTTAGAAAGCCTCAAATGATGGAGTAATATAATAATCGGTGTAATCATTACTTGCATCTGTCCTGGTATTTACTGTGGAAGCACGCCCCCTGCCGACTCTCTATTGGTACTGCACCCATCGCCTGCTTCTGTCCACGGTCCTGAAATAGGTTTCTCTAACTTGCATTAAGTGAAGCATCCTAATTTTTCTATCCTGATATTAACGTCCTAATATCCCCTTTGTTCTGTTTAACTTTGCAATAAAACCCCACAGAGCCACAGGGTTTCTCCTGAGTCTACCTCCACCTTCCCCTGGAAAGATTTCCACTGTCATCCTTTTAAACGGCTCAACTAGTTTAATCCCGACGGCTGACCACCGCGGGTATGGGGACGCGTTTGTTTTAATAATCCTCACCGTTATGTGCCTGCCTAGATAAAAAGCAATTGCAGTTTTTCATTTACACTCGAAAGAAATTACCAGAAATTGGATTTTGTATATATATATATAAAAATATTGGATTAATTGGATTTCTAGGCTACAAGCAGGCGGTGAGCAGGATGGCCCGCAGCCTCTCAGCTGCACCGGCTCGCTGCATGTGGATTTGAAATGACAGGCTGCAGATGGTCCTTTTTTTTAACTCTTAGAAAGTTATTTCTTTTTGGGGGCCAAATTCATATCTGTGATCCATTACGCATCGCAGATCCCCTGAGGAGGAGTTGATGGTGGGTTTTCTGAAGTGATTTCGTGGTGTTAAACTGCGGACATGGATGGGGCAAAGAAAGGTAGGGACTCCTTCCAATGTCTCTGAGGTTTGCACACAGTAGAGAATAGAAAGAGTATTCTTATTATATGTAGTACTATTTAAGGTTTTAATGCATTACAAAAGGAAAAGGCTCACTTTACTGTAAAGGTATGTGCGGAATAGAAATCATGGAACAAAGCAGGTGGCCTAGGTGGCAGATTATCTTTTCTGAAATAATACATCCAGATATTCAGTGAAGGTGACAACATTGGAACATAGTTCATCCTGATAGTTAGGCACGTTTACTTCAGTTAAAATAAAAGCTTACTTTATGCCTTTTAAAATAATAAGATGCACTACTGGCATTCAGTATTTCCACAAGCTCTTATCTGCCCATATTATTGGCTACTAATTTGTAGTTTTTACATGGCGATATGGAGATAATAAAATGTACCTGCAGGCCTATTCTTTGTGGAGGGAATTGCCAACAGGTGTTCATAGGCCTACATGGGGATAGTGCTTGGCTAAGTGCTCCCAATAAAGAAGTAGGTCACATCTGGTCTTATAATATGAGGCCTTCAGGACAGAATACCTGCCTGTTACTACAGCCACGATTCAAATCCCTTCCCTAACTGTGCAGGATAATAAAATGTGGGCTCATATTAGCAATGAAATAATTGGATGTTGCGAGAGAGGAATGCAGACACACTTATTGCTCTATTAGCAAAGTATAACTATTTATGTCTATCACACCCTTGATGTATCATTTACTTGCTCAGAATAAAATAATTCACACCATAAATCTTTCAGTCATTCCCATATTTTAGATTTCATGTTCAAAGATGCTTTAAAACACAGAATAGCATAATTACGGTATTTATTTTTTTGTTTTTTTGCCAGATGCCCCCCCTGGGGGCGATGGAGGAAAATCAGACACCCTCGGGTCCACCAGCTCGGCCAGAAAAAGAGGAGGGGGGGCCAAGAAGGCGATGCAGGCGAACAAGTCCGCCCTCAGGGCCCCCCGAGCCCTCTGCTGCCTCACCCTCAGCAACCCCATCCGCATGGCAGCACTGGCCCTTGTAGAGTGGAAATATCCTTCTCTTGTGTATGTTATTGCAAACAGTCCTTAATATGATGCAAATGCATAATGTGTTGATGAGAATGTGTTGGGGTGTAGGCGGAATGATGCATTCACGAGGTCTGTTGTACCCTTAACTCTAATCCTCAAGCCCTTTGATATTTTCATTCTACTTGCCATTTTTGCCAACTGTGTGGCCATGGGCGTCACCAAGCCGTATCCTGATGATGACTCCAATGCTTCCAATCACCAACTGGTGAGTTTCCCCTGTAGAGATAAACAGTAGCTTAACCTAAGGATAAGTAAGTACACATTTTAGTAAGGTGATATCTCATGGGAGAGATTACTGGCCTGATTTGATCACCACAAAATTACTTAAAAAGGAAATATTGAAAAAACAGCTTGTAACTACTATTACCAGCTTCTACCAGAGGATGTTGCACTTTCACACAAAAACTCCAAAACACACAGTACACAACAACAAATGTAACAATCAACAAAAATCATAACACAAAAACGAACAGAATAAAATGTAAAACCTGGGAAAATATTCTTCCTGCATAGGAAGGAAGGAAAGGAACTGAAAAAAGAACATACTTGAAGGTATTTTCAGTCTTTAACCAACAGTGAAGGGCCTTCCATTAATTCCCTTATTTGTATGATTGACGCATTCATGCATACACCCATGCATACTTAGCTTTAGTGATGCACAGACAAATTGATACCTAGATCAGTCGGTTAGAGGACACGTAACAAAGAAAAAAAGGTGCTTGAAGAGAGTTCTTATAGGGGCAAACATGGAGAATATGACATGAAGTGCGAACTTCAAACAGATGCTGGTGCTTTGATCATATATATCAGGTGTAAACGGTGCATGAGGCTGCTGAAGTAGCACTCAGCCCTTGGAAAGTGTAAAAAGTTTAGAACTTCATCCCTTTAAGGGGAATGAATGAAGCTGTCATGGTGAAGATTTTGTATTTTCACTAAGATCACATGAAGTATCTCTGTTCCTGTTTCAAAACACTGACTCTCACTAAGAAAATCCTGCTTGGTTCTCCAGAGATAACTTTCCTTCTCATGTCCTCTGAGCCATTTGAGGACACTGATAGATATATTCATGATTTGTGACAAACATTAGCTTTTCAGTTTTTCCTGAAAAGAATCAGAATCACTTTATTGGCCAGGTATGTGCACACATACAAGGGATTTGACTAACAGCATAAATAAACAGAACAACAAATTCAACAAAATAGACATAGACTAATATGTACAGTTATACATGTATATAAACAAACAAAAAACAATAATGTTTGTAGACAGTGGACAATAGTGCAACGGATGCTGAGATAAATATATTACGTGTAGTTTTTTTTATGTACATGAACTGTATTCAGAAGTCATTTTGCAGAAGGTAGCAACAATTAGTGAGAAGGTGACTTCTCCGTTGGATGATAATGCTATTAGAGAGAAAAAGTGTGTGTGACCTCTTTTAGGTGACCCTGTCCTGTAAGGGATCATGATTTACTTAAACACTAACCATCTGCCTCATCTCTCTCTTTGTCTCTCTTATTCTCTTTCTTTCTGATCATGTTTTCTTCTGTACATTATGAATTACACAATGGCCAAACTGAAAACAATTATAAATATAAGCCAATATGACCCAACAACAGCTTTATATATATATATATATTTACAAAAAGCCACATTATTGCTAATGCATTATTGGAAACAACCCTTTTCTTGTTAGTTAGAGATGACCAAATATCTGAATTAGATTTTAGGTCCTTTAACTTAAAAGGCTTGCAAGGACACACACCTACTGTTGCAACAGGATAGATGTTAGTAGATCCCTTTATTGGATTGTACAAAGGAGGTGAGCTGACAGTTTTAACATACACTTCCCTACAGGGACTTGCAGTACCACCGGTTAATATCATCAACTTTTGGATCAAGTTTTGGTGAATGTTACAGATTTTTGTGAATTCCACTCATCTTACATTAAACCACATTATGCCTGGATTATAGTGTCATCTTGAGGTAAAAGCCTTAGTGACAGTGGGAGCAGTGATTAGAAGCATTAAGTTGAAGGGTACAGAAAACGGATTCGGTGACAGGCTTAAGCATGTTAGGCACTGGGTTAAGAGGTTAGAAAGCCACTGCAGTCAGCCTTTAATGACAACACACATGCATGAAAACGTCAGTTAATGAAACTTATGGCTGTCTGTGTTGAGGAGGAAATCAGGAGTTTCTAAATGTCTTTATTTGACTGTGACAATAACATGAAATTTTCTCCAGCACTCCTTCCTTATTTATTTTCTATCAGACGCACTCACTGACGTATGAAAAAGGTCACACCAATTTTGCCAAACATCCCCACATTGCCTTTTCTTTTGTTCTCAGGAACAAGTCGAGTATGTCTTCCTCGTCATCTTCACCATCGAGACATTCACTAAAATTCTTGCCTACGGCTTAGTCATGCACCCCAGCGCCTACATACGCAGCGGATGGAACTTGCTTGATTTCGTTATCGTCATTGTCGGGTATTTTTGGCGCTTCATATTGTCACCATTTGCAATCAAATGTTCCGTCACTAATATGAGTTCAACAAGCTATTATGTGTCGTCTGTGCAGGTTGTTCAGTGTCATTGCAGAAGCCATGACAGATCACAAGCCGGGAGAGGCCCATCATGCTGCAGGAAAACCTGGAGGCCTGGATGTCAAAGCTCTCAGAGCATTCAGGGTGTTGCGACCGCTTCGGCTTGTATCTGGAGTGCCAAGTGCGTTCATCCTTCATTACAGTTTATTTGAGTGTGTTTTTTGCATGTGCGTTCCTTCCTAATCCCACATGCAGCATTCAAAAGTGTGTGTTTGCCTTGTCAGGTTTACAGATTGTGTTGAACTCCATCATGAAAGCCATGGTCCCCCTTCTGCACATCGGTATGTTGGTTATGTTCGTCATCATCATCTACGCCATCATCGGCTTGGAGCTTTTTATCGGCAGGATGCACAAGACGTGTTACTCCAGCAGCACAGGTCCCTGCTCTATAAACTAAAACAGATCTTATAAGGCGTCATTATTTAATGTATGTGTTGTCTCAATGCCTCCTGCTGTTCTCTGCTCTAGGCCTCATGGTGGAAGACGACCCGTCACCTTGTGCGTTTGCC